CCCCCCCCCCCCCCCCCCCCCCCTCCCCCACCCATCGCACAGCACACCACCTACTCATCGAAACTTTCGTGGTGCATCTATCTCCCTTGTACGTATCGAAGCGCACCTCCGGGCGAAGTGGTAAGCAGCAACGGGAAACTCTGCCCTGTCGGGCGGGGGCGCGAGAGCGAGGACTCCTTCCCAGTCCGCGAAGGCGCAGAGGTGCAGCGGCTCCTGCGCCAGGAACCTCTCCGGCGGTATGAGAGGCGCCGCCACACCGGCTAGCACACGAGCGGTCGAGTACGCGGTCAGCCGTCGCCCGATGTTCCCGGATTCCGTCCGCCTGCCCTCCACCCCCAAAGCCCACCTGCACACGTGTACACATGCAAAAAAAAAAAAGTACAAGGCAAAGTGTGTGGTGAATAGACAACCAAATGTACAATATGTTTCTTCGGTGGGTTTTGAGAGTGTACCAAATGGATCTTGTAGTCCAACTCGTAAACCTACCTTGTAGCACGTTGGGGGTTGTATCTTTTCTCCCCGGCGGATTTTTTGTGCCTACATTTTTCAATCGGAAAACGTTAAATTTCGTGATCATATGCATATGACACACGTCGAGTTCACGGTCGACGAGGAAAAAGGGTGGTTGAACCCTTCTCGTGATAGCAATACTGAGGCAAGCACCGCAGGAGGAAAGGAGGGCACAAACAACAACAAAAAATGAAGCTGAAAAAAAAAAAAGCCTTTTGGTGAGCCCGGCAGATACGTCACACTTTTCACACCGAGAAGGTGTAAACAAATGAAAGTTAACACACACACGCAAAGGTAGCCGCGACAAGGGACGAGGCCAAGCTACAGTTCATCCTTTCTCCTCACATGAGCATGTCCATGTTGTGATCCGGGTAGCTGGCGTCCGAATCTGGGAGGGCAACGGCCCGCAAGTTCGCCTCGCTTGCATCGTGCCACCGGCCGGTGCGAAACTCCACGTGGGACTGCATGTGCTGCGTCGCGAGGGAGGGGCGTATNGGGGGGGGGGGGGGGGGGTGGGGGGGGGTGGGGGGGGGGGGGGGGGGGGTTCCTTCGAGCCGCGACAAAACACGAATGCCTGCAGCAGAGGGGTTGAATAAACTGTAGAGAGTTTTTCGTGTACATTGTTGAACGGAGGCATGGACGAGAGCGCGAATAATACTTTGCCGAAGGTGTGTTATTCCGCGCGCCGCCGTCGCGAGGGCAACGACATCACACCCGTGTGGTCTGGTGACCTTCTCCTCTTGTGTCTACACGTCAAAAAGGCTTGCGTGCGACGAACAACGAAAAACGTGGCAGCAGCAACAGCACACCAGCAGCAGCAGCAGCAGCAGCAGCAGCAGCAGCAACAACAACAACAACAACGACAACAACAACAACAACAACGACAACAACAACAACAACAACAACAACAACGACAACAACAACAACAACAACCTGAACACCAACCTGGAGGTGCGGCGCTCCGGGGACCAGGTACTCCAGGCGCTGCGCCGGGGCGACGGCGGCTCCTGCCTCTGCTCCGACCTCCATGAGGTGGGTGTAGAAGTGGATCGCCCAGGGGTTGTCGGGGTCGAGGAGCATGGCGTCTTCCAGCAGGGTCCTCGCCTTCCTCGCGTTGGGCCTCATCACCGAAGGGGTTTCCCAGTCTGTTTTTCGTGAGTTGTTGTTGTTGTTGGGTCGTTGTTGTTTGTTGCATGCGTAGGTGGTGGGGTTGTGGGGTGTGAGGAGGGGGGGGGGGGGGGGGGGGGGGGGGG